GGTGCGCTAGCAGCAGGTTGTAGTGACCTTGCACTGACTGTCCTCTCACTAGGCACGGAATTCACGCTTAACAATTCAGTTAAACCTGACAAATCTTCAGGGTCTTCTGTTGGAAGATCTGGATGTTGCATTCTAGACAAAAAGTCTGCAGGAACCATCTTGGCACCTGATCTATGCAGTATATCATAATTGTATTGCTGCAAATGCATTATCCACCTGGCTAATCTACCTGTAGGTTCTTTCACTGGCAAAAGCCACTTCAAAGAACGATTGTCTGTTACCACAGTGAACTTGCTGTATCTAAGGTAATTGTTGAACTTCTTTGTTCCAAACACGACCGCTAAAGCCTCTTGTTCATGAGTGGGATATCTTTTTTCTGTTTCAGATAGATTTCTCCCAGCATACGCTACCGGATGTTCAACTCCATCGGTAACTTGGCTTAACACTACTCCTAACGATTCATTTGACGCATCAGTCAACAAGAGAAAGGGTTTCTTGAAATCAGGGTATTTGAGTAAAGGAGCCTCAGTCAATTTCTTTTTCAATTCTTGAAAAGCTTCCTCGCAAACAGCACTCCATTCAAAAGGAACACCCTTCTTAGTCAACCTATAGAGTGGCCTAGCTATCTGAGAGTGATGACTCAAAAACCTTTTGTAGAAATTGACCATCCCTAAGAATCGTCTTAACTTTTTCAAGGTAGTAGGTGACTTGCAGTCTAACACAGCCTTGACATTTGAACTTGTGGGAGCAATTCCTGAAGATGACACATCGTGTCCCAAATATCGAACTTTCTCTACAAATAACTTGCATTTTGAAGGTTTCAACTTCAATCCAGCCTTGGATAATCTATCCAATACCTGACCCAAATGCTCGAGATGTTCTTCAAAGGTGTTGGAGAATATGCATAAATCATCAATATAGCAGATGACTGTTTTCCATTGCAATCCGGCTAATACTAATTGCATAACTCTCTGGAAGAAACTAGCTGAGTTAATCAATCCCTGGGGTAACCGTTTGTATTGGAACAACCCTTCATGACAAACAAATGCAGTCTTTTCTCTTGACCCATCGTCTTCTAAAGGCAATTGGTGATATCCTTGACATAAATCAAGACAACTTATGAACTTTGGTTGGACTAAACCCAAGCTATCTAAACAATCTCCTAGATGTGGTATAGGAAATTTATCAGGTATGATTTGCTGATTCAGCTTTCTTAAATCTGTCACGAAACGGAATGATCCATTCGATTTATTGACCAATATTATAGGTGACGCATAAGGTGAAGTTGACGGTTCAATAATTCCTTGGGACAACATATCTTTGACTTGTCTGCTTATTTCATCTCGTTTCTGAACTGGTACTCTATATGGGGATTGGCGAAATGGTACTTCCCCTGGCTTTGTTTTTATTTTGAGTTTGAGCAGGTCGCAATAACCTAACTTGCCGGTGGAATCTACAAAAGCATCTGAGTATTTGTTTACCATTTTATGAACCTTGACCTTTTGTTCTGGAGTTAACTTTGAATTTGATAGATCTATCTTGACTTTCTCATTTCTTTTTTCAAAAGTGTTTGTACTGTGCTCACCGTCTAATGAGAGTGTGTTAATTCCTTTCCTTGAACTGACAAATGTACCTACGCTGGTATTTTTAGGCACTTTTATCGCGCGTTTTTCCGGGTTTAAAAGTTTCATTGGAACAAGACCATTTGTAATTGTACCTATGCTTTTAGCTGTAAATACATTGGATCGCGAATTCACCGCTAAACATTCGCCTATAAGGTTTTCCGGAGGTCTACCCTTGACCTTTGCATAAACAATCATTTCCGTCTGAGGAGGTATAATGATTTCTTGGTTCAAAATGAGAGGATATTTATTGAGCGGCTTCAATCTCAACTTTCTGACATTGAAATCAATCACAGCTTCATGTTTGTTCAGAAAATCGGCACCTAATATTATTTTTCTTCTCAATCCTCGGATGACATATAACATTATCGGAATACTTACCTTTCCAAAGGTCATTTTTGTGAAAATTTTTCCTCTTAAATTCAATCTTTCATTTCCGGCTCCAACAGGTTTGATATGAAATTCAGGATATATTTTTATATCATAATCCTTTATGGATTCTAAATGTTCCTCATCAATCAATGATATCTGAGCACCTGTGTCTACGAGACACCATACTGTGCTGTTAAATAATTTTGTCTTTATCGCATTATCTTGATATAAATTTTCCTGAATTTCAATATCTCCGATAAATTTCTTGCGAGGATTGCTATTTACATATTTCTTCGGCCGTGACTTCAGTTCTCGCTTCTCTAGACGCGGCCTTCGGCGTTTAAAGAGTTAACTGGACGTGTCTGATTGACATTTTGCCTATTTTTGGCCAAGCAAAACTTTGCTATGTGACCTTGACCTGAACAATTGTAACAGCGGATATTTTGATTATTGAATGACCTTGAACTACTTCTCCTACAAAATGGCGCTGAATGTCCCTTCCTGAAACATTTTTGGCAAGTCGGCCTTCCATCAATGAATCTATTGTTGGCAGTATTTTTCCCTTTTTCTCTGCTAAGTTGGGATACTTTTTCAGTCAAAGATTTGATAGCTTTTTGCTGATTTTCTACTATATTACACATTAAGTTTTGTGTATCTACCTTGCTTTTGTCATTTTCAGCTTCCTTATCTACTTGATTCAAACAATCAGCTAGTCTGGCTGCTGACTCTACAGCGGCAAGATCATTTGGTTCTTTTGAGATCACAAATTTCCTTATGTTTGGGAGAAAATTTTTGATTAAAATTGTTTTATGTTCATTTTCCTCCAACTGTAAGCGCGAGGCTAATCGCCTTATATCAGTCATGAATTCTTCAACTGATTCATTTGGCTTCTGATTTCTCGAGAGTAATTGAGCTTGTATGTTCCATTTTGGCCTGTTTCCCACAAAATATTGCGTAAAAGCAGTTTGAAGTGCTTCAAAATCATGTTGAGTGTCTTCTGGAAGATTATTATACCATAATTCGGCTTGACTTCCCAAAAACATACGCATGGCTCTAGCTTTTCTTTCATTGTTCCACCCCTGTAAATCGCCATAGGCATTGTACCTATTAACCCAATTCAGCGGGTCGATATCCGAAGAATTACCATCAAATGTTTTTATTCTATTTTTACCTTCAATTTCATTTCTATTTTGAGCTTGATTTTCTAACCTATTTAATCTTTCTTGCAATTCAGCATTATTACCTTGTCTAGCTATTAATTGATCTAACTGACCTTGTAAATCTGGGTTCTGAGCTGTTTCTAATTGTCTTAACCTAGCATCTATAGCTTCCATATTGTTAGTTACTCTTCGTGTTATCATCTATTATGATTTATTATGATATACATTCGAACCCTGTTTTCCTACAAACCACTGATTTATGAACGGTATTTAATCATTTGTTCTAAACTTAACTTCTCGCTTGGCATTTTAGAGAAAAAATTATGTTAGTATGATGTACGATGAAAACATGCTTTTTTCATGCAGTTAGCTTATACTTACATAACCGTTCTTTCTTTTACCTAGGGCAGCTTCCACCAATTGTTACGTTTCGTAACTGTTATCTCGGGATCTTGTGGTCCTTCGGTACTCGCAGGGTTCCTGACTACCTAATTGAACACGACTCCTTTGTTTTGTTTCTTAATTTATTTCAAATTCCAATTCTTCTTGAGATTGATCCGGCCAGCAGAGTTTCGGTAGATTCGCTTGTTATTGTTTCTCCTTTCATCAATTGTTGAGCATCGTTGTGAGTGAGTAAAACTTACTGAATCAACAGATCTTGCCGACTTCTTTATATACCAGGTAAAATACATTATTTTACCTGTCAAAATTGTGCAAATATAAGTAAGAATATTGCTGATTTCATGCTTATGTAAGCAAGATTCAAATCATAATTCTGAGTTGTGATTGGTTGTTGGAAGTTTTAACTTGTCAGAATTCATTGATATATCTTCGTTTTGGCTGAATATAGTAGCGTAGGGATTCCCCTGTACTAAAGCTAACTGAGGTCTAAATAGTCATTAATCATAAGAAAGCAGCAAGATCTTTACAATGTTTGAATATGCTGAATATAAATGGTATTTTATATTGGATAATAAATAATAAATAAATAATAAAGTAATTATATATAATTAAATATAATTACGTACTGACCGAATCATAACACATCCATCTGTCTTATGTTCAGGTGTTGTTTCCTAAAATTAACACTCAATGCTGTGCAGCTCATGCAAATTTTTGAAAGCAACATCTTCAAGGAATGGTCAATCCACATTGCACTGAGTCCAGTGCTTAAATCCTTAAACCATTAACAGAAACTACAAATAAATTTTTAAGCTGGACTTAATGAAGATGCAGCAGATAGACAAGACATCCATTGCCTGTTCCTCCATCCATCAAGAAGAAAATTACAACAGAAGAAGCGAGAAGAAACCAATAGAAACTAAAATAAGATTTTCAAGTTGGACATAATATGACATGAATAGCATACATCAGTCACATTGGTGGCTAATTATAAATTCTCTCAGACAATTCAAATGGTTTCACATTTAAAATGTGTCTGTAAAAAGTATCTATAAGTGACGTCTTAATTCAAAATGGCAACCATTTTTAGCTCACATGGTGAGCTATTGCAATCACTCACTTGTCTGTCTGTCGTCCATCTGTCTGTCAACAATTGGCCCGCTGTAAAACCTCTGTTTTGATTTTGTTCATATTTGGTATGTGAATACTATAAGCATGGCACACTGTCTAATGACATTTTTGGTAGAAGGTGGCCATTTTGAAAAAGGGCTGCCATTTTTGCTATATAGTTTGTTTGTAAATATGCCAGCCATGGCTGTTTGATGGGATTTGCTACGCATTGGCGTTGCTGTTGTCTAGTTTTCCTATACAAGGTTTTGCATGGCACCCTTGAGTATACAGTATAATACCTAATAAATTCTGTTCCATTTGTAATGTACTTCAGGAGATTCAGCTATGACTTCCAGAAGAAATTGATGATAATGGAGGAGGGCAACAACAACCACGTTGCTATGGATGTTACCATGACAGCGGGGCGCAAAGGATCATTGACAGGGGACTCTGAGGCAGATCTGAGCATGTTACAGCAGAGGAAGGATGAAGCCCTCACCCCCATGAAGGAAGACCTTGCAGATTGGCTACAGAACACTCTAAGTATATATGTTTGAAAATTGATTATAAAAACAGAAAATAACAGAAGAAGTAATTCAGTCACTACCGGTTTCACTTTTATTCTTCAGGTAACTGATTATCATTTATCATTATGTATATATGTATCCATGTTACTTAATGTTTCAAGGTGTATTATGCATAGATTAGATGTCACTTGTTTTGAATCCTGTGTTGACTGTTCAAAGAGTAACTTAATCCTGATCAAATTTATAAGAACAAGTGACACAATTAAAAAAGGAAAATTTAAGATTTGTAAAGAAGGAAACCTCTAACACAGACAAGGATCTTACTTAAAGAGAAACAATTGTCTAACACCTCACTCTCTTTCCCAATCAAGTTATTACTATGTTATCACTGACCAAGATTTAAACAGTTTTTAATGAATTTTGAATTAATGAGAACTTGTATTTACAGGTTGTATTTACAGGTTCTATTAAAGTGTTTTTTTTCCTTTTCAAAACCTTGGTACGGCATGTTGTATAATATAATACTGATTTTTACTTACACATTTGGAGTGGATAGTCATCTTTCATTCCATGTAAAGAAAACAGAAACTAATAAAATATTAATGGAGTGGAGGTTGTGACAATGACTCCTACTCTTAGCAATTTTCAGAATGTTTCGTCCAGTGCTATTAATGAGGGCCCCACCTTAATTCAATTACAATTTTTGGGCTTAGTTCTTTAAAGCATTATATACTATTATTATCATATAACAGTATTTCTATAATTGCAGTATGGTAGCTGCCCTGTCAACCCTCGCGCATTAGGCATGATTGTCGCGCATTTGCTTGAAAAAATGAAATCATGCGATTTTGCGTGTATGATAAAAGACAAAAAAAGCGAACGCATTCTGTTTGGACTTTTCAAACGAATTCCATATATGTCACGCATTTGCTTCAAAATATGTGTAAAGCTTGGTACACCCTAGTTAGATCTTATCTTGTATATTAATGTGTAATAATTTTTGGAGTTCACCAGTTATCGTTGTTTGGCAAATGATTTGGCAAGAGCAGGCTATGAAATTCGAGTCATCGCTATGTGTTGGTTGGTATGGAGAATAAGGTCACAATTATTCAGTGGGAATTTCCTAACAACGTCTTAACACTTTCACTCTCATTACTAGAACATTGAAATACATTTCATTCATTTGAGTTACATATCTCACACAAGACACCCTAAGGCATATACGACGTATGTGTGGTAGGATAATGTTACTCGATATCTGAAGGTAAAAACAGCTCTTACACGAACTGGTATCTTTCTCCTGGCAAGGACCACAGACAGTTCAAGCCAGCACAGGGCCAGCTCCCTTGCCACATGCTGGGATTGACCTTGACCTTGGCCTTCAATTATAAAGAGTTTGTGGTTATTGAAATGAATCAACCATGCCCTTGATAGTTATTTGTATTTGTATTTAGTTTAATCTCAATTTGTATTTGCCCAGGTATAGACATTACAGCTGATACGTTCATGGATGCCTTGGACAATGGTGTCTATGTGTGCAAGCTGGCAGAGCTCATACATACCAAAGCTTTAGAATGGCGCTCAGAATGTAGATCAGAAGAAGTAAGTAACACTTGTGAGTTTAATTCATCAGTCAATCGTAATCATCGTGCTTTGGAAGCAGAAACAGTGGTGATTGGTACATAAGTATAATGTGAAGGATGTACCTGAAAATGATGAGACAAAATGGCTTCATCTGCTTAAAAACAGAATAACTGTTCATTATTTCATCTTATTTAATACTGATCAGAAAACATAAAACCAAGCACTGGAGACACATTTGCATGGCTTATGTAATGTAACCAAAATCTCACACAGCTTTAAATCTGCTTCAGGACATTCCACAGTTTAAAATCCGTTATCGCAAGAATGCTCAATCAGGAAGTTTCTTTGCCCGAGACAACACAGCCTGCTTCTTGAAGTGGTGTAGGGCTTATGGGGTGAAAGATGAATGCTTATTTGAATCAGAAGGATTAGGTATGATATGATCATATTAGCAAAGCTTCAAATTCCATTACATCTGCAACTTAATGCTTTTCATGCTTCTACCAGTTTTAATCCCATCTAATGAAGCTCTGTATCTGTAGGGGTATAGTGAAGCCCTCTATCCACCAGCCAGTCAGTCCTTCTGATGAATTTTCTTCATATTTGGTGTAAAGATATATATTGGTGAATTAAAGGCCCACTTTGGGCATTTTCAACATTTTTGGGCAAAATAAAGACTTACATTTAAATTTCATAGTATGTCTAATGTATTGATAAGAACCTTATCTTTCATTTGACATCAACAACAGCTCAAATGGACCACATCAAAGCTTACAATAAATTATCAAAAAAATGTTAACATGTTTCAATAATTATTTTATTACTTTTGCTTCTAAATTAAGTATAGTGCGCCTTTAAGTTTCAAGATGACTGCCACTTTGAAAATGGCGGAAATTTTTATGAAAATCTAAGATTTTAATCTCCAACCAAAGTTATGATTATAACTGTTTGAAATAAGCCTAGTATATCTTCTTATCTTCTTAACATATATTCAGTGTTTTTCAACCTGACCCCCAGGAGCGATGAATGGGGGTCGGGAAAACAGATATTTTCATTAAGTTTTAGATCTCTGAAAATTGAAATGAAGATTGCAAATATTGTATTGGTTTTCGGATATGTGCCTCATAAAATCAGTCATGGTGAATAATTTTAGGCAAAACATTTTTATAATTACTATATGAAATATTGAGAGCTTATATTTACATTACTTTTCGGGGCTTCCTTGGGGGTTAAGAAAATGGGAATTTCCATTCATTTTGAGATCTGTAAGAATTATGTATTTATAAAAAAAAGTATTATATTCAAATTGAATGTATTTTAGGGTAGACCCTAGATTGAAATATTGTAATCGTGTTTCTAATTATGATTTATTCCTGGGAAAATCCAAAATGGCCACTTAAATGCTGGAATAAGCATTCATTCCGAAATCTACATAATAGAATATTCTTCATTTTATTTCTCATATTTGATGTTTCAGTTCTGCACAAACAGCCAAGAAGTGTAATTGTGTGTCTGTTAGAGCTGGCACGTATAGGGATGAAGTATGGTCTAGAACCCCCACATCTTATAAAGATGGAGACAGAGATTGAGAAGGAAGAGGAGGAAATACAGGAAATACATGTTCCAGAGCTTAAGAAAGTTAAGGTTCAGGCGCAAAGACCTGAATCTGGAAAATTGAAAAAGAAACAAAAAACAGATGATATAGATGTAGAGGTAAGGACGTCATCTTGAGTATTTTCTCAGATAAACTCTGATGGGTCAATCAGAATTTTGGTCACATTTGTTATTTAAGCATTATAAAAATAATATAAGTAATATGATTTGTCTATTTGAAATGAAATAGGCGGTGATTGTTCTGTATTTCTACACTCAGGCATTATTATTAGAAGCATGCTTGTATATTGGTTTACAGTATACAGGGGAAGTATTCAAATGAGCCACTGTCATCACATGCAGGCTCCACATTACAGATATAGCAGACCTTGGCACTATTCCAAAATTCTATTCTATTATTTGCATCCATCAGGACATTATGTCATCTTGCTTCAATGAGCTGGTGATATGTGCGGGTGGTATATATATCACCCGCTCACTTCAGATATCAATTATATTCCTGCATGCTATTTACCTTTAACACTTCTAAGTAATGGAACAAATAGCTATATCAAGTAGGTGCATAAAGTAAATATTGAGACATTTTCCAGGTGCAGAGACAAACCAGTAGGTGCCAGTGTCCTAACTGCTTCAAGCTCACTCGTATTTCAGAGGGCAAGTACAATATTGGAGGCAAGGTCCTCTTTATCCGGGTAAGTCACAGTTGAAAAACTAAGAAAACATTAAATCCTCAATTGACATGTCTTATAGGGAGCATTTCAATAGCTCGATGTAGGATGATTAAAAGTTCGAGGATGATATTGGGAAGCCAACCGTTCAAATTTTATATGTTGATGCCTAGGGACAAACAAGCTCTACTCAAGAAGAAATGTTCAGGCTATTTTTAGCTCATTTAAAGTTGCCACCATTTGTTGCTAAAACTGTAATCTTTGGTAACTTAAATACCAGATTTGGTTCAAATTTCAATTTCAAATGGCCACCATTTTTAAATAAAAAAATCATTGATAACTCAAATACCAGTGAATGGATTTGGTTCATATTTTTTATGTGTTGATACAAATGAGCTCTGTTCAAGAAGACATTTTCAAGATGGATACTATTAATCACAATATATTTTGCTCAGTGGGATTTGCAATTCCCTGGATGTTTTGTAGTTGAAAGTAGTATCAGATCAAGCAAGCTGGCAATTTATTCAGTAGTCAATGTATTTCTTATGAAATGCTCCCTTATATTATTTATGTCGAATTGTTTTATGTCTGCCGTGTTCTAAAATTTACTGTTATCAAAAGATGTATGTTTAAGAAAAGAGTACTCTAAGACCGTTCCATTTCATGGATTTTATTATCCTCATAACTGAGTTCAAACTGGTTATGCTGACTTTATGATATAAAAACTTTGTTATATGCCTTCACGCTGCACTTTTCATTGTTCTGTTTTTGCTTCGTTACTACTTTTGGGGAATTATCCAATGTGTTTGTGCTTATATTATCATTGTTGTTACTGTTACATTGTTGGAACTAGATTTTTAAGTCTTCATTGTTATTGTAGATGTTGAAGGGCAAGCATGTGATGGTGCGTGTAGGAGGGGGCTGGGACACCCTACAGCACTACATTCAGACACATGACCCATGTAGGATCATGGAGATGAAACGTGCCGGAAGCAAGGGGAGTTTACTAGATGCTGATGAAGTTAAACGTAAAGTGGGAAGCAGGGCTGGAAGCATGGAAGATATAGCTGATGAGAAGTTTCTTGTCATTAAAGGACGATATAAAGGTGTGGGAAAAAAATCATAGTGTCATATATAACAATATGTGTGCATCTAAGTACAATGCTTCCAAAGGTCTCATATATGAATAGTTTGGAAATGTGTCAGAACTACAAAATGCAGAAAAGAATTGGAAAGGGAGGAATCTGCAAGGAATAAAGTAAAGTGACACATACCGTTCCCAAGAAAATGAAAAAATGAATAAAAACATGTCTTTTAAATGGTTTGGAAGAAGCATGACTAAAAAGAAAATGCATGCATGGGAATATACTAAAAATCCTTTGACCTATGACTTACTGGATGTCCAGAATTTCTTGGAATGGTATATTATTAAATTATTCATTCCATGTGTTTTCAATGTAATCAGAAGTATAGTTGTGACGGACAATTTAAATCTCACTCAATCAATCATGATGCGATGAGAAATGGCTATGGGTATGAGGCCAGCTCAATTCAGCAGTGCTATTCTTGTTTGATTTTTGCCCACTTTTCTCGTCCTTTACCGCATCCATATTCTTGTTTAGATCTGATCACTTCGCAAAGGGTGAACCTTCGACTGGGTACTTTTAAATGCAAATGAAGTACTCGAGAAGAAATTTTCAAATGACTGTTCATTCAAAAAAGCTGCCATTTTTCATGAAAAAATGTTATTTATAATAACTTAAAATGCCAGTAATAGGATTCGGTGTTAATTTATTTATGTCATGTAATGTCCAAAATGATGAGGTATTTAACCAGAACAACGGCAACGCCAAAGCTATAGTGAAATACGTTAAAATGGCGGCCATTTTTCAAAATGGCCGCCTTCTACCAAAAGTGTCTTTAGACAGTGTGCAATGCTTTTAGTACTCACATACCAAATATGAACAAAATTGCTCCATTATTTTTTGAGTTACAGCAAAAATTGTAAAATGACGAGGTAAAGGCCGCCATTTTTCAAGATGGCTGCCATGTGCTTCTTCAATAATTACATTTGTGCATTATTAATGTCCTTTATAATTTTTTTACATTTAAAACATATTGCTATTACAGTTTTACATATTGCACCTAAACTACTGTAAAATCGTCACTAAAATGGCCGCTATTTTGAAATGAGTGGCCATTTTGAAAATCGGCTTTCGAGCAGAACTTCTACCCCCATAGGGTATATGTGTACAAAATATGAACAAAATCGGGCCAACGGTATTTGAGTTATTGCCCGGACGGACAGATGGACGGACGGACGGAGGCGTTCCCTATATCCCTCCGAACTTCGTTCGATGGGATAATAAAATATGTTTTGTCAATAGGAATCCTCTACTCCATGGATATGCTTCTTTTTAGTTGAGATCTTACTTTAGGGTTGTTCAGTTTTCCCGTATTAGTTTAGATTCTTCAGGTATGCTAAAAAAATCATGAAAATAACAAAATAGTGCAACGCTTGGAGTTTGCCATGCGATGAATGCTTGGATAAATTACCTCCGACTCTACATCCATGGTTGAAATAATAGATATATAAAACTAGGATTTTATAGAATAAAATCAAAATAAATAGAGATACTTTTTTACACTCAGTAAGTTGAAGGTGGAGATTGAGTTTTTTTTAGTATATTTCCAGATAATGTACTTGTCATACATGCACTTGTAAGTGCACAATATTTTAGTTATTTATATTCCTTTATAAGATACATTCAGGATATTTGATCAGAAAATGTGTACTTGTATTGTACTGTTGTACAGTATTTGCAAAATAGAGCATTTTTGGATTCTAAAGGTGCAACAGTTAAGAGTTAGCACTTTTACGCAATGTTTTTGCATTATTTCTGGATCTCATTCCGCAGAGTTTCTCTTAACTTGCCAAATATTTAATCTAATGACATTGTATTACTCTCTGATATTATTTAAAATCATCATTATTTATGCCAAATTATATTTTTCTACAGTATAGTAGCTTATTTAATTTATGAATCCCACTTTTGTTTTTATCACAGCTTTTTTATATTAAAGATACATGAGATCACTTTACTGAATACTTTAAGGTTATTGATAAGTCATCTCGTTCAGAAGACAATCAGAATAATACGACTGTACGTGTACAAAGATGTATATAATCTTTAAATCACTTTTCAACTACATTCTCTCTCTGATAATTTTACTTTTTTAAAGAATTCTAAAGATGAGTAATGTCAGAGATTTAAGACTTAAGAATATATACATGTCTATTTTTACGCAATATCTAACTAGTCTATATTTTAAGATGATCTCATTATTTAGAATATTTCTGTAGCACACCTGATCGACATAGTTATCGTTAGAATATTTTGAAAACCTTATTAATTGTATTTGATTACTTCAATATGTATGGGATACTTAAATGCTCAGAAATATTATTTTACTAAACACGTTTACCAATTTTGAACAAGAGGTGAAAGGTAAAGGTGAAAAATCAAAATTGTATACTCCCTAATGGGTGTAACTTGCTTCTCTATCATGACCTCAACATATCCACATTGTGTTGGTCTTGAAGCAGGTTATTTGGCCGTTATCATCTAGGTGCTAATTTTCAACAAGATTTGGACAAAATTGAAAAAAATATTTGTAAAGTCCCTTGCACAGATATAAAATGGCATGTATTAACAAGAATGTATTAAGCCTTATACTTTTATTGTATTAGTTATACTTGAATGTTTTCTTAATTCTTTGTATTGTTATTAAAATTTATGTTATTTAAAATGTATATTTGATATATGTATATGATGCCATTCCAATTAGAAATAAAGTTAATGAATCAGAATTGTATTATTTTACAAGTCAAACAATGTGTCAGTTTACTGTTCACTGTAAATGCCATAACTTACTTAACCATAAGGATCTATGGCATATTGTAATGGTCCTTGGTTAACTATAAAGGCCTATGGTTTTCTATAAATGGTCTTTAGTTAACTATAAAGGCCTATGGTTTACTATAATGGTCTTTGGTTAACTATAAAGACCTATGGTTTACAATAATGGTCTTTGGTTAACTATAAAGACCTATGGTTTACTATAATGGCCTTTGGTTAACTATAAAGGCCTATGGTTTACTATAAATGGTCTTTAGTTAATTATGAAGGCCTATGGTTTACTATAATGGTCTTTGGTTAACTATAAAGACCTATGGTTTACTATAAATGGTCTTTGGTTAACTATAAAGACCTATGGTTTACTATAATGGTATTTGGTTAACTATAAAGACCTATTGTTTACTATAAATGGTCTTTGGTTAACTATAAAGACCTATGATTTACTATAATAGTCTTTGGTTAACTATAAAGACCTATGGTTTACTATAATGGTCTTTGGTTAACTATAAAGACCTATCGTTTACTATAAATGGTCCTTGGTTAACTATGAAGACCTATGGTTTACTATAAATGGTATTTTTGGTTAACAATAAAGACCTATGGTTTACTACAAATGGTCTTTGGTTAACTTTAAAGACCTATTGTTTACTATAATGGTCTTTGGTTAACTATAAAGACCTATTGTTTACTATAATGGTCTTTGGTTAACTATAAAGACCTATTGTTTACTATAAATGGTCCTTGGTTAACTATAAAGACCTATTGTTTACTATAAATGGTCCTTGGTTAACTATAAAGACCTATGGTTTACTATAATGGTCTTTGGTTAACTATAAAGACCTATGGTTTACTATAATGGTCTTTGGTTAACTATAAAGACCTATGGTTTACTATAAATGGTCCTTGGTTAACTAGTGTCAGACAACATTGACTGAAATTATGTCTCAAAATGATGACCATAGATATTGTTAAGGAATAAGTAATTCCTTCAGGGGTTTTAAAGATATCCATTTGACCCAAAGGATGAGTCTGGGTATCGACTTAGAAAATATTGAAAATTTTAATGTCTGAAAAACCAACTAAATCACACATATTATTAAACTTCTTCTGAGATTACAAAAATATAAATTTGTATCACAATTGATGAAGAATATTGGCATCAAAGACAGTGATATCACTTTGTCAGAATTGAAAAGTTACTGAGCATCCAGTTTTGAGACTCAATTGTGTTGGTGATGTTACACATATTTCAGTCAAATTCATGCTGAGCACAACATTTTGGTTTCTCTATACATCACGCCTAACCATCGAAAAGGTACAGTGACAAAATATACCGTAGTTCACTTTCAATGTACGATGTCACTTTTTAACGGATTTGAAGCAAAGACAATGATGCAGGTGTGATGTAGGTTTTAAAAAATTAATCTTGGGAATACTTGAAAGATTTCATGTTTGATTTCGTGTGTATTCGTTTAAGAAGTCATTTAACTTTCTAATAACGTTAAAAGATTTTCGAACGGTGCTCAATTTTTTTCAGAGTCAATCTACCCATGGAAATTGATCAGTTGGAAAATGTTGGGTTTTTCACATTTCTTTTGATCATTTTTTCCCCTGTTGCCTAAGAGTGTCGATTATTTTTACGAGAATAATTGTTTCTCTATACTACACAATTTAGGACGGGTGGAGATTAATAAATATTCAAGTATTTATTGTAATTTAAAAAAATCAGAAATGCGCGTTGTCAACTCGAATGTATGTTGTCCCTGTAATTGATAGACATCCTTGTATATAATACGTAATATCAAACAATGTAATGATTTCATTTCAAAATTCATACGGTTTTTATGAGTTACAAGTAATCTTTAACGATTTTGTTAGTTACATTGATATAGAGATCTACTGATCTCTACTAGGTTATTGAATATGACTTTTAAAAATCCCGTTTATTATATACACTGTATCTGGAAAGTTTTGATAGTTCAATCAAATTGAAGTAATTCTGTAATTGTTCTGTTTCAATTTTAAATGCATCTGACCCCCCTGTCTGTTAGTGTTATGAAAAATACTTTGTCTGCATTAGAGTTAACTGTGAATTGAGTAAGTTCAATGGGACAACATACATTCGAGTTGACAACATACACTTATGATTTTTTAAATTATAGCCAACTTTTTAAATTATAGCCAAAATGTTAATACTTATTAAATCTTCAACAGACCTTAATTGTGCTGGTTAAAGAAACATATTCTCATAAAAATCTTAGACACTTTTAGACGACAGGGGGGGAAATGTGTAAAAACACAACATTTTCCAACCGACCAATTATATGGGTAGATTGACTACGAAAAAAATCGAGCACTGTTCGAAAATCTTTTAACATTATTAGAAAGTTAAATATCTTCCTAAACGAATACACAAAAAATCAAACATGAAATCCTTAATGCATTTCTCAGATTAAAACCTACATCATTATCTTTGCTTCAAATCGGTTAAAAAGTGACATCGTACATCTAAAGTGTACTACGGTATATTTTGTCACTACCTTGTCGATGGTAAGGCGTGTACATGACCCTGGTGATGAAGAGTCAGAATCAGTCAAAAAACCTAAACCAGAAAACTGTGCTCATTGTGAAAACTAAAGTGAAGCAACTTTTTTTCTGATATTTCTTACATCAAATGGCAACCATCTTGTTTTTCCCCCTTCAAATTAAACTGGCGGGAAATTTGAAAAATATTTTAATCCTTAAAAATATTTCAAAAATAGGATTTTCTTCATGGGTCTTAAGTTATTTCTTCTTTGTATGTCATACATGTTGCCATTGGTGTTTTTTTCTGTGATAATGACTTTTTTGTTAAGATACTTATTCTGACTCTAAGCAGGGGGTTAATTATTCATCAAAACTCATGAAAAAGTAAATATACTTATCAAATATAACTAGGACAGAAATAAAAGCCATATTTCACATACATTTGACTGAGCAAAAGGGCATATACCCAGACACATCCTTTTCATTTTTCTTCCAACTTCTGGAGTTTGGATATTATAACAGTAGAAAAAACAGAAGTAAGATCTTGATTGAAGGTCATTTATTGCCAATCAAGCATGTCCTTGACAACTTGTTTATAGAATTACAACCTGTCCTCTACTGACAGAAATCAACAATATAATATACAAAGGAGCAAATAAAATGATGTTACATAACCCAGAAATCTCCATGATCACCTGAGGACATTCCCATCATGCACCAGTATGCTGATATATCATGGGATCATTGTCCTCTCCATGATGCACCAATGACCAGTCCTAGATAGTGTACCATCCTGGGAGAATGCAACAAGACTTAGTCAATCATGTGACCATACAAATTCCCTATAAAGGCTGAATTTACATGTTATCAAATGAAGCTGTTAAACCTTTAGGTGAAATCATGTTGAAATGTAGAATGGAGCTTTTGTGTCAAAAATTGATTATAAGGAAATTGGAATTAACTAACAAGACATGCCTGAAAGAATAATGAATTATTTTAATAGCATTTGATCTACAAAATCTACAATGTTGCACATATGGTGTGTAATGTAATGAGTTTCAGCTTCAAGGCATGTATTTCCAACATTGCCTTACTTTAGTCATGTGATGTCCAATGACCTATCAGGCCAGGAAAATACACTTCCTTTGAATGTTAACTAGTAACATGAATTTGTGTACATGTACAACTCGATATAAAACACATTACTCCATAATGTATAAAGCTAACATAATAGTCAATTTATGATATATAAAATAAAGCGTTTGATATACTTAACATATAAGTGATGTTTGCACATGCTCCGATAATAACATATAATATTCTGGAACGTATACATATGATTATGAGTTGATATAATATTATTGTGAACATAGTAATAATAACAAATAATCCAACAATTTGGCGACTAATAAATGTTAAATAAAATATGTGGCAATGTTGCATAATAAACCCAATTCTACTACTACTTTCTATAGACAAGGGCCAAGAAGCACCATGTCAGCAGAGTTAGATAAAAGTTCACTGAAACTGAACACATAAACACATGCTTTCCAAATTTATATATGCTAGCTAGCTACAAGTAGAAAATGCAGAATTTCTTTTACATGAAAGTTTGTAGTAGTAAAAATAGTGATTTTTGGTGAAAAATTATAGTTTTTTCATGAAGCTTAGAAGACAGGGAGTTATTCAATATTAACGCCTATCAACTTTGCTCTTGTATTTACAATTTCTTATTTATTGATTCATATCTGATCAAAATCATTGTCAAATTCATTTCCAGCTTTTGTTTAATTCAAAACTCTGTCACTGCAAAATGAAAGGAATTTGATTATGAATGATGAATACAGGCACAGTATAAATGCTAATTTGAATTCTACAATGCTATATAAATACATAATGTATTGATGACCATTGCAACAATTGCTGTATGCTATTGGCGTCATTTTATAAGCACCAGAGATGTAGTTTCTACCATGTAGTTTCAATCAGAAAGATCAGATGATCCCAGGTACATATTAACATGTAAATGCCTCCATTTGTTAATTTTCATGGTGAATATTAATGATCACTGAATAATTCATTGATAAATATCAGACATATGCCTTCTACAAAAGAAGCATAGCAGTAAGGGAAAAAGCTAGAAACTTCCAGAGTCTGATGTTTGCAAAATGTCAGGAAATGATTTCTGTGATCACATTGAAATTAACAAGTGTTAAACCTACTGTAGAATCTTACTGACAAAGGCAAAGTATGGCTCTTGTTCCAACTTATCAAGTGTGGGTGTTACATCTAGACATAGAAGTCACATTTGTTCATTTTATTGCACAGCCTCTAGTCGTACTTTCACGAAGACGAGGCACTTATGTTCACAGAACCACTAAGCTCAACAACTTCAAATCTGCCTTGATTTCAAATAGAGCAAATAATCTTGAAGAATAAACTAGTTGTTTGGTAGTAATCTTGCAAGATACTTTATTTAAAAAAGAAACATTTGAATTGCAGAGCCTGCTATTCTGTAAATGTGAACCAGTCCTTGATTACCCAGTCAAACATTGATTCGTTCCTGCGTCCCTATATATATATATAATTTTAATATATATATATGTTATGATATAAAGTAATCTTGCATCTCCTAGTGTCTCATTGTCATTATGGCTAACATTTCATTTCTATTTTCTATATTACAGGTGTCTCAACAATTGTTCACATTTCATTCCATATGGTAACATTAATAATGGGGCAATTCCTGTTCATTGATTGCCAGTTTCAATACACTAGTAATCATTGTTGTTACATTGATCATTGTTCTTGTAATATTGAGCACAATACATCTGCATGTTGAGAGCTTATCTGATCCTAAAAGTCTCTCACTGTATGGTAGAGCCATCGTTTGTTAGATTACATAGCCTCAAACTCATCCACGCGTTTCTTGGTATTTCCTAACCTAATTTGTTTAAGAGTTTTGTATTTATCACGCCCCTGCTTGACATTCTCTTGATGAAGCATGTCCTGTCTCGTCACTTTGCTCACATCCTTCTGGTCCGTCAGTTCAGCTTGCAATTTCTAAATTAAAATCAAAAATATTAACTAGAAATCACTATAATCATAACACTATATTCATCAATCTGTATTTGTCACAACATTATATTTACCATCTACTGTACCCTTGATTAAATTTGCAGATATTACAAGTCATACATTAGATGATTTAAGCAATTGGGTGACCATTTAGGAGTTTCAAAGGCAAAAATCATCATTAAGACGATATAATATTTAATATCTAATATACAAGGCATTAACATGACAAAATGTCACCACCTAGTTGCTCACAATATCATTAGTTCACATGTTAAGTCAGACTTGAATTTCTGAGAACTCTATATGATTTTGAAAAAAGAATTTAGCCTGAGAAGGTCATTGAAGGTAAAAGCTCAAATCTGATGTCAGATTCGAACTTTTGAGAAGTTGTAGATGATTTTTAAAAAAGGATTGGTCAATTTGAAGTTTTTTTTACCCTGAAAAGGTCATTGAAGGTAAAATCTCAAATCTTAAGTCAGATTTAAACTTCTGAGAACTTGTAGATGATTTTGAAAAAACATTTATCAATTTGAACCAAGTTGAAAAAAATACCTTTTTGACCTTGAGAAATTCATTGAAGGTCTAATCTTTTTTGACTTTGGGAATGCCATTAAAGGTCTATAGTCAGATTTGAACTTTTGAGAACTTGGAGATGATTTTGAAAACAATTGGTCAAGTTGAAGCAAGTTGAAAACAGACCTTTTGAGCTTGAGAAGGCCATTGAAGGTCAAATGAAAGTCAGATTTGAATCTGATTACTTGTAGATGATTTTGGAAAAAAATTGTTCAATTTGAAGCAAGTTGAAAAAGACCTTTTTAACCTTTTTTGACCTTGAATAGGTCATTGAAGGTCAAATCTTAAATGTAAAGTCAGATTTGAACTTCTAAAAACTTGTAGATGATTTGGAAAAAAAATTGAAGTCAGTCGAAACAGTATTTGTTAAGTAATTGCAAATTTTAAGAATTTGTTACAGACGCCAACCGCCACCCACCACTCACCACCCGACAATCTACACCACTAACCGCCCCCACAAAAATGGAGACCATAACAATATGTCACCACTTCTTGGTAGTGACATTATAACCATACTTTGAAGAGATCTCTAAGTAATAACAATTTTCTGCTCTTGGTAGATATTTGAATTTTCTGAGGCACAAATCAGTAAACAAATACTTATTGTGATCTATTCAAAAATTCCTTCAAATTTTCAATAATTCTTATATTTATTACTTTGGTTTAAAATAAAAAAAACTTTAAAGCGGTAGCCATCATTCATCATAACACAAAATCTTTGCATAAAACTATTCACCAATTTACATTTTTCAATCAAATATGAAGAAAATTGAACTTGTATTCAAGTTTGTTTGGATAGTAACACTGAAGGCACTATGCAATATTGAATATGTTGTGGCTCATGGGTGAATATGTCTACAAATTTTGGAGTGCAAAATAAAAAGATGATAAATAGTTTCTCCTTACCTCCAGCTCTTCTCTCATCCTTGCATCCTTGGCCATTTGTGTTTGACGGTCAACTTCATATTGAGGCACCTCATGGTTTCCAACAGTCAGTTCACTCTCTAGAACACAAGAATAAAACACACACATCAACAAACAAATCTGCAGGTTAATTTTCTACAAATCCTTCATATTTTCTCGTTGTGAAATACTGTTAAATACATGTATGTTAAAATCAGACTCGAGTTTTTTAAAAGGCAACTGAAATAGGTTTTCTCAACTTGCAGCTACAAAAAATGTGGTTTTCTGCATTGTAAGCCCAATACATACTGTTCTCAAGATAACCATTATAAAATAAATTTTTAAAAACTATTAATCACACCAGAATAACCTGACAAGGGTAAAGTCAGATACCGTTGTCACAAATGGCGGACATAGCTACAGGACGTGTAGACCATTGTTGCCTGATTTATAGCAAAATCATTGCACGTCAGTGATGATGTGCCTTTTTAATAGATCTCATATCTTAAAAAATTTCAAAAAAATTCTAGAAGACCTAACATATTTTGCCATGCACTGCGCCTATTATTTGGCAATTCAGTTGTAAATTTTCTCTTGAAAAAATAAAAATTCCAAAGGATAGGTATTGATATGGTGAACTGAATTCAACAAAGCTTTTCTCTAAAACCAATCATTGAAACATTCTGTAAAAAACACGGTATTTTATGTAATGTTGACTGATTGACAACAATTTAATGCAAAAATTATTTATATATATTTTATATAACTGTTTTTGTTTTTAGTGCAATTTTTTTTGTTCCTTTTTACCAATTCTTGAGAATGAAATAAAATGTCTTTTAGCCTTTTAGTCTTTTCGAGCCTTGTTGGAACAAAATAGCATAGACAACATTTTCTTAGACCTCTCAATATTATAATTATATAAAGGAAATTCTGGTTGTTTTTACAAATAGTACGCAAAAACAAAACTCCCCAAAATAGATAAAAATTAAGATAAACCATTTATTAAATTAACAAGATACTTTTTTAAAATCAACCAAACTTTCCTTTGTACAATATTGAGAGACCTAAACATGTTGTGTTTATGTCATTTTGTATCAATGAGGTTTGGATAGATGTTTCATTTCCGAACATATTATACCAAGAACAAAAGAAGTGTCTGGTGTGTTCTCTAAAACAATATAGAGAAAAGTATTGTCTATATTTCAAATTATAATGTTTTGATGACTGGTTTAAGAGAAACGCGTGTTCCATGTATGGTTCAATAGATAGTCAATTACTAATATGTGTGAAACCTTCAGAAGAATATATATTCTGACTATCATCTAAAAATATATATTTGTAGTCATCAACTTTGAGAAATGAGTCATTACTCTGTAACTTAATAACTTTCTTTAAGTAGCCATATGGAGAGTATCAAATGACTGGCCATTGTGAGTGGCCAGTGCAGTTTACATATAGAGCCATCCCAAAACAATCACAAATGCCATAAAAGTAGGTAGATATGATAAACAATCAACTCATGCTAAGATTTCTGTTGTCCTAATAAAAGCAACATAGGTAAGAAATTCATGCAGGAATCATACAAAATGCAATGGACTTGTGTAGCCCTATTAAGATAAAACCAAAATAAAAAATATATATGAGATTTTATATTTAAAAGTTTAATGTTGCTTAATCATATAAAGTATGGTTTCTTCAACCAAAAGCTTCATTAGGAGGTCATACCATCTCCATATAACTGATCAGACATTGGAGATCAAACATCCTATTAATTAGGCCTCAGAACCAACAATCCAGATCTTAACTCACACCAAACTGAACTTACTAACTAACTGGTAAGTAAGCAAACACCTAAGAGGAAAACATGGAAATAAACTAAAACAAAAAACAACTTAACAATTCCTACTTCCTTCTTTTACTCACCATAAGCTATGTGATTAAAAGAAAAGCAAGAGATTTTTTCAAATAGGTTCATATCAAGATATTTTTCTCAATCAAAAAATAAAGTATAAAAAATGAAAATTGACATTTATCATCTACGAGATTACTGAGTAGGAATTCAGTACACAATTACATCAGTGTAAGAGGTAATTCCATTCAAATTTTCATTTTTTTATTTCAATTCAACACTGTAAATCATGATCAAAAAATAAAACAACTTCCTGGGTGAAATTTGACTGTGAAGTCTGATCCAATCTAGTGCATCAACACACATATACATTCAAGTCACTTTCATGATTTGCAGCTACATACACTTACAGTACTACATTACTACAGTATAATTGTCTGCACACAGTCCAAAGAAATGCTGAAACTGTAATAGCCATGATTTCCTGGGGCTGTGTGCAAGTTTTATATATTGTTTTAAGCAAGAATCTGTAATCAAATCGGGTTAGTAATATGCTAACTAGAAAAACAGCAACTCCACGGAGTAGCAAATCCCACCGAACAAAACATGTTTTGATAAAAAAATTGACCCAAATTCATCCACTGGTATTTGAATTATCAAAGATTATGTCTTAATGAAACATGGTTGCCATTTTGAAATTCAGCTGTCATCTTTAGATTTCTTCTTTAGCAGAGAATGTCCGTCCAATGGTATCTGGGTTATCAAAGATTACTTTTTTAATGAAAAATGGCAGCCATTTCGAAATTCAGCTATCGCCTTTGAAATTTCTTCTGAAGCAGATCTCCTTTTTCCCTAAACATCAGCATATAATAAAATTGGAACCAAATCCATCCACTAGTATTTGAGTTATCATTAATTACGTTTTTTTTACGAAAAATGGCGGCCATTTTGAAATTCAGTGGCCATCTTGAAAATTTATTTTTGAGCAGAACTTCTTTGTCTCTAGGCATCAGCATCTAAAATTTGAACCAAATCCATTCAATGGTCTTTGAGTTATCAAAGATAACGTTTTTTTACGAAAAATGGCCGCCATTTTGAAATTTGGTGGCCATCTTGAAAATGTCTTCTTGAGCAAGGCTCCTTTGTACCAAGGCAACAGCATATTAAATTTGAACCGAATCCACTAATATTTGAGTTATTAAAGATTGTATTTTTTCCGAAAAATGGCCGCCATTTTGAATTAAGCAGCCATATTGAAAATTCCTTCTCGAGCAGAGGTCCTACACCCATAAGGCATAAGCCTATAAAATTTGAATGAAATCCGTCAACCGGTATTTGAGTTATTGCCCGGACACACGAACGGACGGACGGACGAACGGACGGACGGACGAACGGACGGACGGACGGCTTTTCTATATCCTCCTTGAACTTCGTTCGGTGGGATAATAATAAATGCAAAGGATTTATATACTAATGAAGAATGAATACTATGGATTTGGATCTAATTCATATCAACTCCCTGACCTTGATGAAGTTTCAGATAAGCTAGTATTTATTCTTAGACAGGAAAACATGCTATTTGACCTAAAATTAAAACTTCAAGTTTGTTTAAATTTGAAGTATCATATTATACACCATTAAATACTGATGCACAACTGGAAGAATGTATATCTATGACACAAAGAAGAGGAAGCATTGAGGTAATGCGAGATAATTCATACTGAACCATGTTTCGAATTTGGATGACACAAATCAATTATCCCAATCGCAAAGAACAGCATTACACTGTAATAATTATTATATAAGGTATGACATACCATATGTTTCAGTTTCATCAGCATCCATTTGTTCGTTTTCCTTGACCATAATGATAGCAGGTGTGGCAATAGCCTCTGAGAGTTTAGCCTGGGATTCCTCAACTTCTCTTTTTGCTTCCTCTAGTTTTTCTTGCAGCAACCTTGCCTCCTCTGCTCTTTCAGCGGCCTCAGCTACCTTTGCATCAGCGATCTCCTGGGCTTCACGAGCCTCAGCTTCCTACAATCAGTAAACAATCTCATGCACTGTGCAACCACTTTCACTTGAAAAGTACCTAGAATAATATGTCTCCTGTTTATCCATTAATAAACTGCAGCATGTTGCATATAATGACCAACTAAGATTCGGTCATCCGTATGATGTAGACTAAGTCAATAATATGAGGTTATATAATGGTTGATTCGGTATATCGTGATAATAATCATACATATATTTACATAAGTCAGACTTTGAATCTACTTTGCAGTTAATGTTATATCATGCCTACCCTTCGCTCACGCTCTTCCTTCTCAAGATGAGCAGACTCCTCTGCTAGTCTCCTGGCCTCCTCTGCTGCTAATCTGGCTTCTTCAATCTGTCTGAACTCTAACTCAGTGGTCTTAACACGGTCTTCCAAATCTCTCATCTTATTATTGGATTCCTCAAGTTCTGAAGAAGCAAAAAGAGCCATTATGCCATAAGGAGTTATCATGTATAATAGGAAATGGGACAACCATGCTTAAGTAAAGTCCCTAAGTTATTGAAACTTCAAGCAAGCATCCTAAAAGCTTCACATTTAATGTGTTTAAATTTAGGTTGGATCTTTTTAATTGTAATGGAAATGTACTGCTTAAGAAGACCAATGGATGCAATAACTCAATATATCAATTTCATTTAGAAGCAATGCATCGCAAAACATTTCAAAGGGCATTGTATTAGTATACTAACCTTGCTGAGCATTAGACCTTTCTAATTCATAGTTCTTGAGTCTTTGTTCTAGGTCCTCCCTCTCCCTTTCAGCATCTTCTCTCTTCTGTTTCTCCTTGGCCAGTAAAGATCTGAATAATATTGAACATTAATTGGTACCTCAGATCATGCTTAACATCTGTTCATATTCTATGTTCAAGAAATCCCAGTGAAACAATTAGACATTACAAATATATTGACTTCAGCCTTGTAAAAACAAGGCACAGGACGTGAACGAGATCACACCATCAAATAGGCAGACACTATGAACCAGGAAAACTGTTCTCCTATTATGGTTACAAATTTCAAGAACAAGAAACAAGATTTTTCAAAAAACCTTCAAAATGGCCACCAGAAAACAAGATGGCCGCCCAAAAGTTAATCAGCTCTAGTACTTGATATCCTCTATCATTTGTGTAAATTTGAAGGAAATCCGATGAGCGGTTTTCCTGAATTGGCGATGACAAGATTTTTTGAAAAATCTTCAAAATGGCTGCCAGAAAACAAGATGGCCGCCCAAAAGTTAATCAGCTCTAGTACTTGATATCTTCTATCATTTGTGTAAATTTGAAGGAAATCCGATGAGCGGATTTTTTGAAATGGCGATGACAAGATTTTTCGAAAAATCTTCAAAATGGCTGCCAGAAAACAAGATGGCCGCCCAAAAGTTAATCAGCTCTAGTACTTGATATCCTCTATCATTTGTGTAAATTTGAAGGAAATCCAATGAGCGGTTTTCCTGAAATGGCGATGACAAGATTTTTCGAAAAACCTTCAAAATGGCCGCCAGAAAACAAGATGGCCACCTAAAAGTTAATCAGCTCTAGTACTTCATATGCTCTATCATCTCTGCAAATTTGGAGAAAATCTGATGAGCAGTTTTCCTTAAACGGCGATGACAAAAAGCGGGACGATCACGATCACGACCACGATCACGATCACGACCACGATCACGACCACGATCACGACCACGATCACGACCAGTATGACGACTATATCCCACCGATGGTGTGATAAAAAGATAAAATAGTACTGTGAGAAATGGGCTTACATGGTGTTGTGTTACTAATGTTCTGGACAAAAAGTCCAAAATCGCCACCAAAAAATTTATCCAGAATGTCCAAAGACATTTCTGAAAGTTTCAAATTGATCCATGAAATCATTTAGCTCAAAACATGTACAGAAGACTTTATATTACAGCCAATGTTTTAAGATGAAAAGTCAATATCTATAAAACTAGAGAATGTGCAAAATATGACTCTCCCTGGACAAAAATGGCGGTCATTTTGAAAATAGGCAAGCTTTAAACTGGGTACTTCACTTGAAAGAAAACATACTGTTTTAATAAAAATCACTGTATTTATGACCAGAAAGTACTCAAGGTGAAAGATATGACTGTCTAAAATCACTTGCCATACTGCACGTGGTCTTTTGCTGACGTAAATGTGAATGAATAGACATCATCTTAAGTTCAGTCATTTCTTGTGGCTGTGTGTCATGTGTATTGGCTCTTACCTTTCTGCCTGTTTAGCAATTTTCTCTTCTTTAGCCTGTGCCTTCATCTGCTGAACTTCGATGGTATCTGGCTTACGTCTCCTCATGTACAACTCATGGTTGCCCATACACAAGGCAAGAATTCGCTTGTTTATCCTAAGCCGGGCTGCATAAAACATAAAGTCCTACAAGAAACCAAACAGAACATTAAACATTTCTTTTTGGGCATATCTTTGAGAATATGTTATGATTTGTCACGAGAGTTTTATCCATAAACTGCATTATATCAAATCTTAGGTTTAGAAACCAATGTGGGGGTGAATATTAGCAATATTTCACAAAACTCAATGGATTGTGAGCCTCTGGTCTCATGTGAAATAATAGCCAAGCGACGAAGGGCCACAGCTATTATTATGTATTATTATATACCCAATATGTAACACTTATCCTGATTGGTTAATACCTAGTCTCGTGTCCTGAAATAGATTTACTATTTCCCTTTGAAAGTTATATTCCCTCAAATGAATGAAGCGAGAATATAAATTTGAACTATTGCCCGCTGGTGTCACAATTGCAAGTTCTATTACCTTTGGAAACGTCTGCGCATCATCATTGCGCAGACGAAAAACAGAAAAATTGAGCATAAGCACAAAAACAAATCAACTCCGTTCACCATGACAGATGTGCGTGAACGATACAATATAAGCAACGGTTAGTTCCCTAAGCTCAATACATCTGTGTAATTTCAAGTGTTATGATAATCTATTTCGCGTGTCAAACGCGATTGAATTTGTCAAGTGAGAGTCTCAGAAATTTCTCTTAAATTTATGTTGAGCATATTTTGACGTCACAGCTTATAATGCTAACAATGGACCTGGGGTGGGGGGGATTTCTAAGCCTTTTTTGGCCTTCGCGGAGGAAACCGGACAAGAGTCAGTATAGGGTATGTAATAAAACAAATAGTGACTGCCTTAAATTTCGAGCAATAGTGTAAATGATTTCCCCTTGGGAATATCCTCTATAATGTACTATTCCCTCAGCCTGCGGCTTCGAGAAGAGTACATTTAAGAAGATATTCCCTCAGGGAAATAATTTACACTATTGCCCTCAATGGCAGTCACTATTTGTAAAATAATACAATGTACTTACAGGTGCTTTCTTATCTATTGGTTTTATAACAAACTTCTTGTCGTTAAAAGAAATATTTCTAATTTCACTCCATGGGAATCCTATCTTGGGGGTGAGTCTGAAAATATAGAGGATTTACATCATGAACTTGTACTTACAATATGTCTCAACTATGGGTTATTTCGTGAATTGCAGGCAATAAAACGCGCAATATTAATAATTTTCTTCATTTGGTTTTTGATAATAAATAATGAATAAATACTGATGCTTTGCAAATTGTCTATATTAGGAAATTCATACTTACTGGTCAGCTTTTTCGTAAATATTTAAACCTAATGCATCTACGCCTAGCCATAGATCTGTGCCTTTCTTATTTTTGATTTCAAAATAGTTCACACCATACATCTCTAGATCCTGGGCTATTTTTAAGTACTCCATCATTGCATCCTCTCGAAGCATGGAGTTGTGCTCTTTGTACCAGTTGACGATTCTCTCTTCCCATTGTTCTTTGGACATCTTATGTTGGTCTATGACCCTGCAAGCAAAGTTAAAACAATTTTATGCTTTGAAATTACCATTAACATTTGCATATGAATATCACAGGTCACATACTTTAAAAGTAGAATTTTTTTTTTTTTTAATAATCATTTATTTCAAATATATACTATACATACAATAATACAATAATAACGTTTGACAAGGTTAAAAATAACATTATTGTCAAACTGAAAACCTTAATGTAGTTACATTCATAATTTTTACTTTAGAAAGAAAGATTCATTATTTTATTTAAAATGGTCAAGTTGTGTGCTTAATGTGTAGAGTTTGGTTACGGGTCCAGTAGGTCTTTGGTGGATTGCAAAAATGACACACTTGCTTTGATTATTAAAATATTAGTATTATGATCAAAATCAGGGTGACCAAATAAAAGCATGTCTATTTTATCAGAAGAATTACAATCTAAAAATGCACTTAAGCAATCCGCCATATGGAGATCTCTAAGGAGTTGACATCTTGGGTTCATGTATAGAGGGCACTGTAGAAAAAAGTGTTTTGGTGTTTCAGAGCAATGACCACAGGCACATTCTGGTGAAGGTACATTGTTAAAATTATGTGCAAAAAGCTGGCTTTTCAAATAAAGATCTACTCTGAGTCTATTAAATGAGACTTCATTTTTTCTTTTAACATTACTATAAGTTATGAAATTAGTACCATTGAAATTTTCAAAATGTGCCTTGATCCTACGTTTAAAAATTGAAATTCGCTCACAATTTCTTATATCATCAGGTAAAGTATTCCAAGTTTCAATTGCTGCATAGAAAGTAGATTTCTCAAATCTTTTACTTATATCTAAAGGAATATTATATTCTCTGAAAGCTCTTAGAGTTCGAGTTGGAATATTTCTGCAACCATTGAAAACTTGACTTACATATGGTGCTATTAAATTATGTCTGCTTTTGAAAAGAAAAGTACATAAATGAGATTTTCTTCTATCTGGTAACTTTGTCCAATTTAAAATATCTAACACCTTCTCAGTGCTAGAGCCATGCAAAGCGCCAGTTATCAAACAAGCTGCATTATATTGAAGTCTGTTTAACTTTATCAAAGATAATTCAGGAGCACTAGAATATAAGATATCACCATAGTCAATTCGACTCAAAATGAAGGCATTATAAATGGTTTCTAAGTGTTTAGATCTTAAAACATGAGTCAACCTTTTAAAAGGGTTTAGCAGAGCTTGAGACTGTTTTATTAATTCGTTAATATGCTCTTTAAAGGTTAGTTTTTGATCTAAAATGATACCCAGGTGCTTATGGGTATTTTGTTTATCTATTGCGTTAGTTCCCAAAAATAAAATTGGTTCATTTTGAATAACAGTTGTTGGTGAAGTGAAAGTCAAGTCAACCGATTTTGAGGCTTTAAAGTTCATTTGCCATGTTTGGGCCCAGTTATATATTTTGTTAAGATCTTGTTGTAAATCAAGACAATTTTGTGGCTGATCTTTTGGATAGGGGCTAAAAATTGAAGTATCATCTGCATAGATAAACGTTTTGGATTTTAAATTAGTTGGTAGATCATTTATATAGATAAGAAACATCAAAGGCCCTAAGATGCTACCCTGGGGTACACCTGCATTTAGAAAGTTTGGTTCAGACAAATTTGAAAGTTTTTCATTTATCTTGACTTTAACCTGTCTACCAGAAAGATAGGACTTTAAAAGCAAGAGTAAGTCATCTTTTATACCATAAGCTGATATTTTATGAAGCAAAAGATGATGAGGGACAACATCAAATGCTGATGCAAGGTCCAAAAAGATTGTACGGACATTGTTACCATTATTTAACTCCTCGTGGATACAATGAATAATATAGGCAAGTTGAGATGTGGTATTATGTAAAGGGAGAAAACCAGATTGGAGGTCATAGAAAAGATTATTCTGACTCATGTGATTAAAGATTCTATTGTAAAGCACTTTTTCTAAGATTTTGGACATTGAATTTAAAATTGTTATTGGTCGATAGTTTTCAATATTTGATTTATCTTTCTTCTTATGGAGAGGTATTATGATACCCTCTTTCCAAACCTTTGGGAATGAATGTGAATTTAATATCTTATTAAACAATAATGAAAGAGGACTGGCTAAACTGTTTGCAGAATAAAATAACATCCTATTTGTGATACCATCACTGCCACCCCCCTTTGATAAATCTAAATCTTTCAATAATTTTAAAACTTCTTCTTCACTAGTTTGTATACTACATAAATTATTGTTGCATAAAGTAGGAAACTCTGGTAACACTTCTGGATGGACAATATTAATATGATTTTTCTGGGTAAAAAATTTGAGAAAAAGTTCAGCCTTTTCAATAGAAGTACCTGATAATTTAGGATTTTCTAAATGTAAAAAAGGCAGTGATGTGTCAAAGGATTTACCTAGCAATTTCTTAAGAAGTACCCAATAGTCTGATGAGTTTGAATTAAGAATAGATATATTTTCACAAGTATTTTCAATATACGATTGTTTAGCTTCTTTAATTAATTTGACTACCTTATCACTCTGTGTCTTAAATTTAGTAAAAAAGTCAGGATTATTTGAACGTTTGAATTTGTGATGCAATCTGTCACGAATGTTGATCTCTTTTTTGATGTTAGGGGAGAACCATGGTTGATCTGTAGATTTGTGATTAATCTCAAAATTGGGTATACAATTTTTGAAAATATCAAAAAGGCTATTTGAGAATCTTTCAGTAGCAATGTCAACATCATCCAAAAGAAGGATTTCATCCCAATTGAAGCTGATAATTCTATCATTTAAGTCATTTGAGTCCATATGATCGTACTTCCAAATAGTTTTCTTAGTAGGTGGTTCCTTTAGAATATTTACCCTTAAGTTTGTCAAAATTGAACAGTGATCTGAATTTCCAATAGGGGCCATCACTTTAAAATGAGAGATAACATTGATTTCATCAGTAAAAACAAGGTCAATACATGATTTGGTTAATAATTCCTCTCGCTTCCGAATTCTAGTTGGTTCATCTATAAGTTGAATGATATTTAAGTCAGATGTTAAGTTTTGAAGATTTAATCCAGGATTATCAGTTTTATCATCACTCCACCAAAAACTATTTCTAGCATTGAAATCGCCATTTACAATTAAGGTTCCAGGCAATTTCTGAGCAGTCTCAAGATTTGTAGACAACAACTGAAAAAATGTATTGCGAGTTGCTTGATCCTGAGAGGGAGACCGATAAAATAATCCATAATTAAAATATTTTCCACTTATTTTCAGCTTTATCCAAACGTTTCCAAGAATGTCATTCATAAGATCATGAATTATTTCAGATTCAATTGAGTTATGAACATAAATAATTAATCCACGGTTTTTATTAGTATAATAGAGGATTTGAAAATCATTGATAATCAAGGAGTTTTCCACATCATTTTTTGTGAGATTTCCCACTTCGCAGAGACCAATTACTTTTATGTCATGTTGCTTAACCCTAAATTTAAGGGCTTCAAATCTTGATAAGTAATTTGCTTTAAGACTATTTATGTTAGAAAATAGGATTGGTAACTCATTTATAGAGTTTTCAATATGAGGTCCAGGATTTGATTCAATATCCCCGCTGAGTTTCAATATAAATGTGCAATCAACTAGGTACATCAAAAGTGGTGAACCTGGAAAAATAGTCATAATACAGAGTATTCTGTGGAATCTCACACTGAAAAGAATATACGATTTAGTGCAAGATGACCAAGCAATAGCATAAATACAGTATACAAGACACGGGCCAATAACTGAATGATATAATACACATAGGAGCATAATTTGAAGTTTCCAGAAACGTTCTGCTTGGATGTTAATTTTCAGTAAAGTAAGAATCAGAATGAATCAGAATCAGAAAAGTAGAATGATTATCACAATTCCTAGAATTACGTGTTTGTGGTACGTAATTCAATAAATGTTTAACGAGCATTGCAGCACCAAATATTTAGAGGGAGCTCATGTCTTATGAACATTTTAGAATTATTATAGAATCACACAGAAACTATCTGGCTTCCAAGATGCAAAAATAATTTGTAAGGATAGTGTATCTTAACATTATTTTTTTGAATAATGGGACTCTGTATAAAAACGACAATTTCAAAATATATAGCATGTAAAATGTACCATTGCTCTTCCCTTGAAAATATTATCGGTAGATATTGAAATATATACATAAGAGATATATCAGAATTTTCACGGATTTAAGTATTTTGGTGACCATTTACAGTGCGATATCCAAACCGCGTGCATACTATGCACGCAGTTTGAAACCCTGACAAACTGCACGCATATTTAAAAATGGCAGACAGGGAGGACACGACCTATAAGGATGAAAAGTACTGGAAATACAAGGTTAGTTTTTTTTGTGTATAGCCTTTTTATTTTTTCGTGAAGCCACTCAGTAAAATTAGCATTTTTGGCCACCTTTATAATCAATTTCACCAGAGCTAAACTATTTGGGACAATAACGATCTCCTCCAAACTATCAAAATATAGTTAATATCTGACATCAATCTTTTGCATTGGTCCTTAACTGGTTTTAAGAAAGGGAGTTAACTTACTTACTTTCAATAATGCCATCCAAGCATTGAAAAAACACAAAGAAAAATGTTGGACCCGGGAATAAATGAACTGTGTTTTTTGGAGGCAGTGCAAGTCATATGCACAAAATCGACTTGATAAAGAGCTTACCTTCAGTCTCTTTGTTTTGTCAGAATCAACTAAATAATTGAAGGAAATTCTATTTCTAAAAGAAATAAAATTTTCTTTCAAATTTCCTTCCCGGAAGTTGATTGTCTGATCGAAATAGTATGAGGCATGTGATGGGACATATAGTTATCCAATACTCGATTTCCAAGCAGTAATCAGTACGAGTCCTACGATTGGCCGCTAGCTAAATACCTGATTTAAATCATTTTCTATTGGTACAAAGTGCTCACGTGATCATTATTTAAGAATACGTATGCGCAAGAAACTGAACCAAAAAA